CGCTGGGCCTGATGTGCCAGTGGTCAGAGTTCCGCCTAACTTGCAGGCACGGAGGGAGGGGGCGGGCCTGCCCCTCAGCAGGCCGCTGGACCTGCTCTTCTGGTGGGTCGCAGGTCCGCCTACCCTGCAGGCGCGTGGGGCAGCTCTCTCTCTTGCTTCTTGACCATGACCCTATGAAGAACAAAAAGTTACAATAAATGTTTGGTTTCTGACAATGAATGGTTACACATCATTGATTCTCAACTATTTGCTCCTCCACTTACTCTTGCAGTAAACATTTTCAGTTCATGTTGAGCGTATGACCTACCCTGAGGTGAAGGGAGGTAAGAAGKCTGTAAAAGGGACAGCATTTATGAAAACATCCAGAGAATTAACAGTGGCTCTGGCAGAGAAATTCCTGCCAGATTCTCAGGGTATCCCTAGAAATGATCAATGACTGATTCTTGCTATGAGCACCAACATGCTCACATGAAGTAACTCTTGAAAGTTCCTGTGTAGTGTAGGACTGTTTAGAGGTGYAATGACTGGATTGTCATAGCTGTAACCTGCTCAGTATGGACAGACTGGATGGTAACTGTAGGCAGGTGAGGTATGGCTGGAGGAGGTGGGTCACTCCGGCTGTGCCCTGGAAGGGTACMTCTGCTCTGTGGCCCCATCCCTCCCTCTCTCTGTTTCCTGACTCTACCATGAGGTGAGCAGTTTTCCTCCACTGTGCCCTTCAGCCATGGTTACAGAAACCTTTGTAACCATGAACCAAAAATAAATTTTTCCTCCTCTAAGTTGTTCTTATCAGGTATTGATTTTAGTCACAGCGACAAAAGATTAACTAAAACTATTCTCATGCACCTAGGTGTATGACAAGACAATAATCTAAAGCCAGTTTTACTAGTTCTAGCAAGTGAGTGGGTTTCTGCTAGCTCCCCAAGTGCACATGGACTGAGGGCCTCACAGATGAAAGCCTGAAATTCTGAACCAGTTCCCCCATATTTTATCTTTGCAGACATATGATGGTGTCAGCTCTGCAAGCAGCCGCCTTGCCAGGGTGTGTGGAAGACAGCAGCCGACTAACCCCATCATCTCTTCGGGGAGCAGCCTCTTTGTGAGATTTCAGTCTGGCCCTTCCAGACAGAGCAGGGGCTTCCGAGCTAAATTCAGGCAAGGCAAGTGCCCTGTGGTTCCCCAAACATGGGAGAAATTTGTTAAGTGGCTTGTTGGTGCTGGAATAAAAATGAGACCAGTCCTCAGAAACCAATCACAGCCTCCTACTCAACATGCAAAAATTTACATAGAACTAGGAAGCTATGGACTCATAATTTTTCCAACTGCTGGTATTTTTATCCTTGTCTAAATTAGATGATATTGACTTCCCGGGGATGTACATCTCTCTCAAAACTACTGTGTAATTTCAAAAAGTTTTCAGACTAATATTTAAAGGTACCACTAATACTAGAGTCAGTGTTGCATCCACTGATTAGAATTTATTCTAGAGTCACTGATTCTCAGTGTTTCCCCCAAGACCTTTTCACCCATTGCCTTTCATCTGGTCCTTTGTACAGATCAACCTTTTTTCCAGCTTCAGCCATAGAAGGAACTCAGAGCTGGAGGGATTGTTGATTGGCTCCTCCTTGGTGATGCTTTGTATGTGGATGATTTAGATATTTCATTTTAAATTAAGTTTTGTCTGTTTATSCATTACACCCATTTCAGCAGACTTGCTTGTATTTTATACTAAAGGGCCCTGGATAGGGAAAGTTCCTGAATGTAGATCTCCCAGCCATGTATTGTAGACTTTGGAACATGACAGACTGTATTCATGTGTCTCAATGATTTTTTTTTTTAAGTTTCTTATTTTTTTTTTAACATTTAATTATTCTTTGAAGTGTTGCTTCAGATTGAAAAGTCCCCACTAGCTCTTATTTGGACTACTATAACAGCCTCCTCAAGGTCACCCGCCCCTCGCCCCATCTTCCTCCAAGGTTACTTGCAAAAGCCTTGCTCCATTCAYACCATCGAAGGTTCTAGTTTCTGTCTTGTCTCCACAAGCCTGGAAAACGAAGACAAAGCTTCTCTCCAGGTGTTAGCCAGAGGTCCTACAACCTGCTCTGTTCTCTCTGCTGCATCACACTTGACACCCCACCACCCCCAGCAAATACTTCTTTGATGTCTCTGCTCAGACTGCCTCCTCCCTGGACCACTAGTCCTYCCCCTCCACTAGCCACTGCCACCTAGGAGACTCCTCTTTTGCTCTCCAGTAACAATACTTTCTCCCTCTTCTGGGCTTCCACAAAACTTTGAGATACTATGCTATTATGCTTAGGAAGTCTGTTCAACCAATATTTTCCTTAACAGAAGAAGTCATCTATGAATAGCTCATCCCTATACTTACAATTTACGAGTGGAGAGAGTAAGCGAATCAGGCCAGAGTTCTGTCTGAATGACTCAGACAATCCATAGCCCTTTTAATAAGCTGTTCTGTGCCTCTTCCCCACTTCCTGTAATTGAAGAATAGCGTTGTAAATGTTAAGTGTGTTCCCATTTTCTGATGGTTTATGTGCAGCTTCCTTGGCAGAAAACTTCCTTGGCATGCATTTCAGAAATAAGGGAAAAAAATCATTTATGTTTTCCTTCATCAAATAACGGTTTTGTACAGTCAGTAGAAATTAAAAGTGCATGACACATGTGTGTGTTTGTGTCCCCCAGAGTGTGGAGGCCGCATCCTCACTGACTCTTTTGATACTATTTCCTCTCCATTGTTCCCTGCCAAGTATCCAAACAATCAAAACTGCAGCTGGATCATTCAAGCCCAACCTCCGTGTAAGTAACAAAAATGAGAAAGGAAAGGTGTTTGGGGCAGACGTGTCTGTGGGAAGTCAGTCTATGAGTAATGTTCTTATCTGCTTGGTGGTAACAATTGATGGCCTTCCTCCTCTTCTTTTGAAAGTCCCAATTCCTGATATATATAAGAAAAAGCATTTCCTAATCTGATAGGGAAGTAATTTTTACTGATTCATCTTAATGTAAACTTTGTTGTTTTTTTTTTTTCAAACTTTCAAGGCCTTAGCAACATTGAGGGGAAAAAAAATAACAAACCTATATAACTCTGTTGTATTGACTGGCATGTGAGACTGAGAATAGGCAAACATCGTTGATAGTTTTGACATGTGTGCCTCAAGTATGGTAGAAGCTCAAGACAGTTGCTCTATGAAAAATGATGAATATGAATCATAGACTGGAGAAATAMCTCACGGTTCAGGAATGCAATGCCACAAGCTTATAGATCTTCAATCCAAGTGAAAACTGATTATAAACCTGGCCTCTCCTGCAATGTATGTAATTTAAAAATCTCAGCAGGGGCCCAGTAGAAACATTCAACAAGTGCTTCTTTTCTTTTTCTTTTTTTTTTTTGAATCTAGAATCTTATTTTTTTTACCTGATAATTGTTGTTCAGGATTATTCTTCACATTTTACTGGCAGAGAGAAGTAGGAGACTACCCCAGGCAACACAACAAAATGACTACAAAGGGGATAGGGCCATTATGAATCCTGTTGCATGTAAGCCCTGCCCTCATTTGATGTTTTCAGCAAAAAAAAAATAATAATAATAATTATGATTTCAGACACAATGTGGGAAAGTCAATAGCTTCTCTGCTCAGTTCAGGAATTAATGACCTGTGTGAAAACAGGCAAGTCAATTAAACTTATCAGCCCCCAGTACAAAATAATTTACAAATTGGAGTGTTTGATTTAAATATTATCTGACACTTTCCTTAGTGGTGTTAAGAGTTAACAAATTAACAGCATCTTTGTTGATGTGCATAAGATGTGGGGGTGGGGTGGGCAGTGACGTAATCCTTAGCCAATTGCAGACTGGAGAGGGTAGAGCCCTAACTGAGCATGGAGAAAGAAGCCCCCTGCTTTGAGCTCAGCAGTTTTGTGCCTAAGGATTATTTTCTAATGAGTTGCAAAGCATTTAGATGAAAGATCTCAGTGCTTCAAGGACAACAACAGGAAAAGATCCTATTCTGAAGATTAGGGACCCTGGAAGAACAACAAAAGGAAAATGTACCCGGGCACTTGATGTTCTGCAAGTAATTCAAAGCTTTCTTAATAAATAACTCTGAACCTCCAGGGCACTAGCTCTGGCCTGAAAATAAACCTGAGTGTGCTACAGATGTGTTGTGCCAGGGAGAAAATAATGTCTCATTGACAAGTACATGTAAAGATTCAGAGTTCCTGGAACCTGTTCTCCTGAGACAAAGGCTGAGAGGAGGAACATGGTAAGGACAGATAACAGTGTGTAATGACTGGAGTTTCCAGCAAGGCAGTCCCAAAGTTCCTGGGAGAGCCTATCCAAGAGCCCTGTTATTTACAACTATCAGCACTGCAGATTCTACAGGCACTTTCAAAAACATTCATTGTGTTGATTGTGTTACTCTTCAAAAGAAAATCCTTAAGGACAGAAGTTGTCCCCTCGCCCGTCTTTTCTCACTCAACCACTGTGCAAATCTGCTAGATTTCTTACTTCCCTGCTGGAAGACCCTCAACTGAGGTTATCCCAAGTGAAATTTCTCTGTGTATGTTTTTTTGGCAGTATGTCCAACAATAATCTCCTCCTTTTTTTTTTTTCTTACAGTCAATCATATTACTCTCTCCTTTACCCACTTTGGACTTGAAAGCAGTACAAGATGCACACACGACTTTCTAGAAGTTTTGGATGGCGATTACTATGATGCACCCCTCCGAGGTACTGCAGTGCATGCTCAAGTACAGCTGTGGTTTGGGCTGTCTCTYGTTTATGTACCTACATATTTATAGGTTTCCATTCAAGCCTAAATGTTTCCAATAAATATGAAGAGTAGCATGAGCAGAGTAAAGGTAATTAGAGGGTAGGAAAGCAGGATTTAATGATGTAGGGTTCAAGAAACTCAGCTCATGTATATTCAAGGACATGAGTAGTTTGTATATATATATATATATATATATATATATATATATATACACACACACACACACATGCATATAAATATATTTTTAGAAAATTTAAAAATTGCAACTGTTTGAAATAGTAGTGGAATGAAGGCCATTTCAGCATTAGAATTGTCAGGAGTTTTTTTTTTTTTTTTGTCAATATTCAAAAAGCATTCTTACATTCACCTAGAGCCTGTTTCTTTGTCCTCAGTGGAAGCAAAAACAATTTTTATTAATTAATTAAATTAAAAATGTTCTTCGACATCCCAGTAAAATTAAAATATGCTGCTAATTTTTAAAATGTCTTCAAGTAACATCATCGCAGGTCATTTAAGCTTTCTCTGTGAATTTACTATTTTTTTTGTTTGTTTGTTTTTAGTTTTGTTACATAAGCTTCTTTCTGTCAGGGAAGACATTTTGCTTTGCCGTTTGCCTATGGAGACAATATTGGGCAATCAGTGAACACCCTATGCTGTGTGCATACCTCTCATTGTATTGCCTGAGATAATTGTCCATAAACATTTGACCAAGGATGAGAGTATGCTTTTTAACAAAAACTTATATACCATGCCATGTGCTGAATACTATTCTAAATACTCTCTGAATAGGAACTCAATCCTCAAGCCCTTGGGATACAGGTTTTATTATTTTCAGTTTGCCCCTTTTCATATGGAGAACCAAGGCACAGAGCATTTACAACTTGCCTCATATCTGGTAGCTGGTAAACGGCAGAGTGGAGAGAGAGTTGAATTCTGGTCATCTGGCTCCAGCTTCCATTCTTTTTCCCCTACAGTGCCTTGAGACTCGGAGTAATAGTGCATTAACTGTGCAGGTCCCTACTGTGTCTTATTTTAGTACATTTGGAGCTGAGACATCTGTTTTTTCCTCTGGCCCTCTCTTATTCTTTATCTGTGTATCACCCTCTCTCCTATGCTTGTATTTAAACTCTATTTTAAATATTCAGGCACTGCCTCAAACACCAACTCTGACTTAGATGGATCTGGTCATGACTTCTTTGTGTGCTTGGGTCTCTGATGATTCTAGTAGGGTTGTGCTTGTGACCTCTGCCAGATCACTGTTCATTCTTCTTGTCACCATCTTTGTTATTTAGGCCTTCATTCTTCTTGTCACCATCTTTGTTATTTAGGCCGTTACTGTGGCACCTCCATGCCCCACCCCATCACGTCCTTTGGCAGTGCCCTGACGCTGAGGTTCGTCTCTGATTCCGGACTGAATTTTGATGGTTTTCATGCCACGTATGCTGCATCCACATCGGGTAAGAAACTTGAGCAAAYGGCTGGACTAGGTTAGCATGAGTGCGGTGGAAGTCCTGGGTTTGTTGTTTAGGACTTTTTCAAAGTTGGGGACTAGTTTCCTGGATCACCTCTTTGGCTCACTTGACCTTCTTCAAGTTCTGGGAATACTGGGGAGAAGGGGCGGGAAACCTGCCTATCTTTTAGCCCCACCTCATGATYTCAATTGACTTGTTGACCTGTGTCTTGGTGATGCTCTTGCGGTGGCCCCTGGCTGCCAGCATCTGATGGCGCCTCCATCTCCTATGGATGGACAACCACATGGCTGGTCTGTCTCCTGAGCCTCGATGCTGGGCTCAGGCAGGGTATGGATATTGACAGGGAGGGCAGGGTCGACGAAGCAGATGGGGAGGGCAGGAAAGAAACCATGCTGCTGTGGGCTTCTTAGCCAGGAGAGGGCTGTTTCAACTGTCAGCCCTGTGGTACTAAAAAGCTGACGCCCAGCTAGAAGGTGGGTGTRTGTTCCAGTGTTCTTCTGAGAAGGAGAAGCTGGAATCTGCCTTCTCTTCTAAGCCAGGGTTGAAATAATCTTGTTCAGAAAAACCAAATGGTTGTAGGGTWAAAAACAAATCTTTTATTATCCAGGTATAGTTCATGGGGAGGAAAAGATTTTAGAAAAAGTGCAGAGATCCCTTCTGATCCAGCCACTGTGGGGCTCTTGGTTTCCAGTTTCTAGAATCTTTTCCTTATATAGCGCACAGGTTTTTGTAATTGAGAAGGAGATTCCAATCGCTTGATGCTGGTTCCAGTGCTCTCTCTGCTCTGTCTTAACTGGCCTGCACCCATCTTTGCTCTGACAACCCTTTTCTTTTTCTTTTTTTTCTAGCTTGTGGTGGAACCTTCCACATGGCCGAAGGCATCTTGGACAGCCCTGGCTACCCCGAAGTTTATCCTCCTAATACGGAATGTGTCTGGAACATTGTCAGTTCCCCTGGCAACCGACTCCAGCTGTCTTTTATGTAAATCCTTTTTTATGGGGTATTGTTTCAGTGCTAATGAATCTGCAGGAAGGAAGCGCTGTTACTAATAGGATGGACAACTAACAGCACATGTGTCCAAGCAACTGCTAAAAGGAATACAGTGGGAACTTTAGGAAATCTTTTTTCATATTTCCTCTGTTTTAGTCATAGCTTGGGTTATAAATAGCGTTAAGGTTCTCTCAAGAGTGGTTCTAGTGATCTGCCTGACATTACCAGCAGTRCATCGTTAAGCTTTTGGTCTTCTAAATTTGGGGAATATTTATGTTCACAGAACAATACTTTTATCATTTCTTAGAATTAGTTACATTGGTTCTTTCAGAGCATCGCTAACATCCTCTCTTCCAAGGGAGAGCTCCATATAAAATAAACTTCTTCACTCCCGTGCGTGCCTTATCCCTACACCAATCCACTCTGCCCTCTTTTTCTATCAAAAGAATGAGTTTGGAAAATTTTTTGGAACTTAGTAGTCGATTTGCAAAATCACTCTCGTGCTTCTCATTGAACTCTAGCACTTTTGGAATATGGACTATGGATGTAGATCAGTAAGATCCTGTCACATTCCTAGTCATCTTACTTAAATGAAACAGGAATAATAGTATCTCCCAGAAGTGGATGTAAAAAAACACATGGTGTGTGCAACAGGATTTTTTGATCAACCCATAGAGGGGTACTKCGGTGTGCCACTTTGCTAATGGATGCTTAAGAAATGCCTGGGTGAGGATACTTTGGTATTTAAATTGACACTTTGAATTAAAAGCTGTGTACCACACTATAGTAGTACATATTATTAGGCTATGGTTGGCATTGCTAATTCTGTTTTGAAGGCAATATGTTTCTTAATATTGAGATGAGAGGATTGTTTTGAGTATACTTTCCTATTTATTCAAAACTCTGGCTCTTCATAGAATCTGTGCAGCAAGAGCTGATTAAAAATATAAGACAACACCTTATTTGTGGACCAAGTTCAAACATCTCAAGTTGCTTTCTCTAATCCATCATAGTGCCTCTTCAGGGTGCATATGGCATTGTGTTAAGACAAAGCCATCCTCTGCATGCCTGAAAGGCAATACAAATTTAGACTGCCACATGGGAAGGAGGTTTTAACTCCTCTTTGCCTTTACTGAAGGCACAAAATTCAGTATGGGACAAATCTATGTATATAATTTTTACCTGACATCTTTATTCTTTTATTAAGCAAATGCTTATCAAGACCCTAAGCACATAGTAGGCACTTGCTACTCCCATGCTAGATGCTTTATTGAGAACGATGAACAAAACATGATGTCCTTACAGTGAAGTCCAAGGTCCTTCCCGTGGCTTAGTAGGTCTCATACTTGTAGATGAAATGACTTTCCTCTGGGTCTTCACCAAATTCACACTGATGGCCACCCTGACGTTCAGTGGTTGTCTAGGCTATGTACTAGTAATGTTTAAGAGAGATAAGATCCCAGTTCTTGATGAATTATTAATAAATRAACATCAGAGGCTTTTAAACTGAAACCTCAAAAGATGAATTTCATCTGTAGCGTGGTCATAAGAACAAGCTTCTAAGACCACTGCTAGGATTAAAGATGTCAAATTTGAAACGTATAGCACAAGTGTGTTGCTCAGCAAATGTTGGGTGAATGTTAATTCTTTCAGTCTCTGCCATTTCCAAAGTATCTTCTCTGCTACTTCACAAATAAATSCAAACAGACAACCAACAGTGGACTCTCTTCATGGAGGATGGGAGCTTACCTATGCAAGTGCAAGTTTCATCCATTTTACTGTTTCATGGACCTTGTGTCTCAATTGCTGCACAGAAAAATCATAGCATCTCAGCTGTTTTCTTTCTTGCCTATAAGAAGTTAATTTTGACTACTTTGTGTTACTTGCTTGAGTTTTATTGTTAAAATGAATTTTGTGGAAGGCAAGATGCTTTTTTACGTGTAGATGGTAATAAGAATGGTTTCATGGCAAGGCTTCTGAGTTATTTCTGCCCTGATCTAAACTGTATCCAGATGGATACTTAGAAACTCCCCCCTCCCCGGCCCCCCGCTGCCTTGAAGCCTGTGAGAAGCATATGAGAAACATATGAATCACATCAAGTTCTCA